GCAAAACGTGTTTGTGGTCTATACATGAGAGAATAAACACACACACACACATGTACACCATCCGTGGTTATATATGAAGACTGCCTAGCCCCCCCCCCCTTTTTTTATTGTAATTTTAGTTAGGGTTAATATAAACTTTAGTCCTTCAAATTTGTTTTTATTTTGATTTTAGTCCTTGAAATTTTAAATCATAGGTTTTGATCTATCAAGTTTTTTTTATTTAAAATACTGGTCCCAATAAAAATATGGATTATTTTGCTTTTTGAGAGACTAAAACCTATAGTTTGAAACTTGATGGACTAAAACCAAAATGAGAACAAATTTGAAAGATCAAAAATTATATTAACCAAAATAAATATAAAGGACACACCTCCCCCCCCCCTTTTTTTTAAATGAAACACTGCACACTTTATATTAGAGATTAGAGGGGGTCCATACTATAATAATCTCTGTTTTAGTGCGATCATGTGTATGTAGTTTAATCAATATGCCTTTCAGAAAAGTAATGCAGGCCGGCCGCAATTATTAATATATAAAATTAGATTTTGTAATGGGAAGAAACAAAAAGAGCGAAGAAAGTACAATTTAATTATAATTAAGGAGGGAGAAGAAATAATGATGGTTTACACAAAATAATCCACTTCCTCTTGTCTTCTACTTCTCTATATTCACACCCACAACCTTCCATATGCATACACACATGCAAAAGTTTTCATCACATCTCAGCCTTATTATATATGCTCATGCATTTTATATATAAACAGTTAATAATTACTCCCTCCAGACAAAGAATTGAATTATATAGATAAAAAATTGTTTAAAATTGATTAAAAATAATAAATATGTAAAAATACATTTTATTTTGAAAATTACCCTTATTTTATAGAGAAAGTGAAAAAGGTAGGTAATTAATGCAGTGATATACCATAACCTGTAGCTAATGGAAAATGAAAAAGATTGGTTAAAATTTCAGACATCATTTAAGTGTATCTTATAAATAGGATTGAGCCTATCTCAAAAATTTTATTTTATATAGAATAACAAGAAGTATTAAGAACCTAAAAAGGTATTTGTTCAGACCATCAAAGTATCAAGCATTATGGACAACAATATAAAATAAGATCATGCTTGCCTTATTATTAATTGGCGTGTAATTTGGCCGGTTCAAATTCCACCACAAATCTTCTTGACCACTTTCCCAACCAAAAAAAAAAAAGAAAAAGAAAGAAACTGTGCCTTCCATTAAAATTCAAACTCCAGTATTACTTCAGTGCCATAGATAAATATTGGTTAATAGTTATCGTCATGACGTGACCACATTCTCACCACTAAGAATTTTGTCTCCCAACTTCAACGACACTTGATATAATAACAACCATAAATTATTTCTTAATAAAAGGTATATTATCTCATAACCAATAGCGCAGTAGAATCAATTTTTTTTTTTTTGGCTTTCGTTATTCTTAAATAACCACTTATATATATACCTTGTTAATAAAAAATTGTCATTGTAAAGTTTTGTACCATGAGATAATCTAACTTGTTTGATCTTAACCAATAATAAATATTTTATTCCACTAATAACATTTATTTTGAATGCTCGAGAACAAACATACTCATCTGGTCGTATTTATAAGATAGAAAGAGAAGAAAATTTTTAATCTTAATTTATAATTTTACCTTTTATTTATTATTGTGTTGACTTTATTCTCATATGATATAGTATATATTAAATAGAGACAAAGTTAGAAAGTTATTGAATTTTAAATGAAAATTAATAAAGTTGGAAGAATTACAATGAGGTTCCAAAGAAAAAAAATTACAAAATAAGTCTTAGAGATTGACATTCTCTATTTTAGAACTTGTTATTATAGGTTGCTTAGATTGTTATTGGAACATTTTAGTAATTATTTCCCTTTCTTGAAACTTGATTGTAATTCTTCTAATAAATTTTTAGGTTTTTATTGGTCTATATAAAATATGTTGGAAGTGACTTATAAGTAGCACCAGAAAAGTAATACGTATTGTTAATCACTTTATTAAAATTTGAGAAATTATTAAATTTGTAAATAGATATAAATTAATTGAACTAAACACTCACAATTTCTTTACTTTAATCATCAATTATAACTTACAAACATAAACCTAAAAAAACACACACAATAACGACGACGCAACAACAACTAATCAAATTGGTGACAACTCAATAGAAAATAAATTAAAGTTATCTAGTTTGTGAAAACAGCTAAAAAAAGATGGTATCAAAACTAAGATACCGACCTAAATCCAGGGAGGTTTTGAGGTTGGGTGCTACTCATCGTCTTTTTATGGCCCTGGTCTTTTTACATTGAGTTGAACAATTTGTAAAAGAAGGTCCCAAGAGCAAGAGAAAACAAAAATGACAACATCTTCAATAGGTTTGGTGAATAGCACACAAAAGATACGCAAACCAAAGGGAAAAAGCGGTTGGTGGGGATGTAATCATAGCAAGCTTGCTTTTCTGCATCATTTAGCTTGCAATAGATTGACCACCACCCCACAAATTGTTGTTCCTATATTAAAATCAAAAGTTATATACATATATATAGCTAATTGTAAAAATATAATAGGTATGTTTATTTATGTGTTTCTTATATTTTATTGTTCAACACATATATATATAATATATATATATAGTTGAGGTGTCAAACTCTTAGTATATTATATTGAAAGGGCACTGTGCGCCATCATGAGCATGTTAGCCGAATTTAGACACACGCTTTGACGTTATTGGCCATATATATGAGGCCAAACACAAGAGTGCTTTAGAGAATATTCGCCTCATTATTGGGTGGGACGGCTTCAACCCTCAAAATTAAGATTATTACACACACACACACACCCCAACCAAAACCCAAACTTGGAAGCAAAAGCCACTTCATGATTTGTAATCACACCCCACCTTGTTTCATTATTCCTTATTTTATAATATCTTTAGGGTTATAACTAGCTAATTAAACATGCATGGGCCAGTATTAATTTATTGGTATTTTCTTGAAACAAGGAAAACAAAAGATAAATTAAATATCATGGATATTTTGGTGTTTGCCACATAAATTCGTTTGCTTTCGTCATATTATAATTTGTCGACCATATTGTCTTTACACCATACTAGAAGAAAGAGCCAAAGCGGTTTTATGTGGCTTACATACGAAGCATATCAGTTGGGAATAGAGGTTTCGTCTTTGCATTGTTGCACAGTGAAGCTGGAGCCAACCATTGGGGTTATCCTCATCAAAAACTGGGAACAACATCCTTATCACCCAAACCTTTCGCATTCAGTGTGATAGAGAAAAGAGAAATAAGCATAAATCGGCACTCTGCAATATTTCGTCACGAGCTCCTCACGTAGGGCACTGAAAACTATGTGTTTGGCTTCACCTGCACTTCATTCCAACCAACACGTTTATGGGGGACTATTACTTTTTGTATCCTTCTGCTGCTCATTAGTTAACTATATTTCACCCTCAACTCGGCATACAGGGATTTACATACTTTTCTTGTTATAATGCACTTTGAAGAGACTTCACGGAGTACTTGATGAGATATTACTTAAGTTTTTTTAATATAATCTATGTTCAAAGTCATTAGTTACCAGAGAGAATAATGTAATGTAAATTTAAAAATTTTCTATTTAGATATCGGTGGGTAAAATAAAATAAATAATTTATTTCATTTTTAAACAAAGTTAATAACTCAACCAGATGCTTTTGGTCCCAATAAGGTGATTAGAGATGCTTTATAATGAGGACAAGGAGTATATTTTCTGCTAATTGATGATAAGGACCACGTCTTTCTGATCCGTGCTTTCGCTTTCCTGGTGGTAAAGATTTGGGTAATCATCGAAAAAGACTTCATTAGATTCTTGAAATCATGGCTGCTAATTCACGGTGGCCCTATATTAAAAGCTTCAGAGTATAAAAAATATAGCGGACAGTTCCTTGAGCAGTGAGGATAAGCGGTAGTAAGCTCAAATTTACACTTAATCTATCAAATAATTCAACCAAAACTGTACTTAATTATAATCAATCATGATCAACGATTTTGTGTGAAGATATGTATTTTCCATAGTCATCTTTTTTTTTTTTTAACCTTGGGTACAATTTCCACAGTCCTTTAAGGAGCACTCCCAATATTGTTTTGCATTGCCTGGAAAGGATACTCATTCCTGCAGCCAATGCCCTTTTTGGGGCCAATATTCCAATACTCAGAATGTGATTGGGCCCATTTGACTGAGTAGGTAAGCAAAGTTTAGTCAGTAGGCCCAAAATCCAATTTGACGGTGTGGAAATGTGGAATGCGGATAATATGCTATTACAGGGCCTCCAAGTGATTTCATTTCACTAAAAAGAAAGAGCCCATGATCACATTCAGTGGAGCTCAATTGGAAATAATTTTGTCCAAGCATTGTCAATAAGAATTGATCTAATTAGTAAGAAATTGACTTATAACTCATAATGTAATGAGTTTGAATCTCACTACCGATATGAGAATCTTATTGGTAAGTGATTTGTGAGTATTTTTGTAAGTTCTTTCTAATCCTGGTAAATTCCTGAAGCCCAAACATTTTTTGTAACAGAAAAAAGTATCAAAACATCTTTTGCATTCAGATTCGAACTCAAAACACCTTTCTCTCTAGAAAATACTGTTGGTTTGAAATGGCCATAATTTTAAACCGAGAGGAAGAAGAAAACGCTGCACATGCAATATTATGAACGTTACGTGCTCTGGCAGCTGTCAATGTGAGAGAGTGGCTCCATTATTCTTGCTTCACCTACGTTGGCAAGTTATGTGATGAACCCAAAAGCAGTCAGATTAAAAACCATTCACCACACTCAATCAGAAAGCATCTCTCACAACTTCAGAAATTAAAAGGCTTAATTACCAATCTAACCCAACAAGATGAATTTTGGCAAGCATTATTCTTTTCTTTCTCCATCAAACACTCCTACCCTTCTCTTCACAGTTCTCTGCGTCACCCTCACCCATTCATTCTCATTCCATAAAACCCTCTCTTCTTCCCATTCAAATTTCCATAAACCACCATGCAAGGCCGTGACGGCATTCCGATCCGTACCCCACCCCACCCGAAACCCTTCGGTCGCCGCCACACCGCCCGCTACTACGTCCGGCGTGTTCGTGACAGCCTCACCACTCGAGTCTCCAAAGTCATATGCGCCACTTTCTTGAGTTTCCTCGTCGTTATTGCCATCATCACCTTCGTTCTCTGGATAAGCCTTCGCCCTCATCGTCCTAGAGTTCATGTCCATGGGTTTTCCATATCGGGTCTGAACCCAGAATCCAAGTTCAACAATGCTCGGATAAATTTTAATCTCACCACCCGAAACTCCAACCAGAATATAGGGATTTATTACGAGAATATGAACGGGACGGTTTATTATCGGGACCACAACATCGGGTCGACGCCGTTACTTCGTCCGTTCTACCAGCAGCCAAAGAAGACGACGGTGGTTGACGGCGTTCTGAGGGGGCCCACGTTAAAGCTGAGTAGTGAGCGGTGGAAGGAAATGCTGGGCGATGAGAGGGCGAAAGGGACCGTGGTGTTCCGTTTAGATCTGACGGCCAAGATAGCATCCAAAATATCGATGTGGGAAAGCAAGCACCATCGGATGCATGCCAACTGTGACGTGGCTGTGGGCCCCGATGGCTCCCTCTTAGATGCTTACAGGGACAAGAGATGTCCCGTTTACTTCTCTTTCAAGTGACCGGGGAGTGCTCTGATTTATTTTTTCACTCTCGTTTATATTTTTTTAATTAAATTTTTATACAATCCTATAATAAATTATTCAAATAAAATTTAATAAGGTTCGCTTGTTTCCATATTAATCTTATAATTTTATTTATCTCTTTACATTATATGCAATTAATTATGAGCATAAAAAATATAAACTTTGCATTGCAATTCACAATCATTTTTTTGACCAGCCAGTTCACAATCATAACTGTAGTATTTTTATTAATTTTGAATATAGTTTTAACATTCATTCAGTCGGCCAGTTCGATAATATTAACCTAGAGGAAAATTATGAAATAAATTAATTTAAAGCACATATTTATAAAATTAATTAATAAATTAAGTTGAAACATATGAGAAAGAGGACCAATGTGGGATCTTCGTTTTGCGTACACAACTATTTGCTTCGGCATTAACATTCAGTATAATAGTAATACAACAAAATGATGTCCTTTAACATATCATCTGATTGAAACTAAAATTTGTTCACATAATATAGTCATAACAAGACCAAAAAGTGGCAAATAATTTGTCATTTTAACAAGAAAAAATTAAAAAGAAAAATGTATTTCAGTACCAGATTGGAAAACAAAAGACATCACTATAATTAGAGAGACAAATACTAATAGTCTGAGGTTACTTATAAAATTAAATCCATAAACCCTCGCTCATCAGAAAAAGTTTTAACTTCTATGTCGCCACCTTGGTTGAATTTGGCAACACTCAGCTGCTAACACCAACATTGCAAGGCATATACTATCTTCAGTCCTAATTATAATATTTAGTTTATAGATTTTATAATTAGGATTTGAGGTAGTGATTATGGAGTTAACAAGTAACATGAGAAGCTGAGAGCTGCACTTGACTTGGAGTTTGAGATTTTCGGGTTTGGATCTTTTCAGAATCCTTCTTTCGTCTTTTTTTCTTAGTGTCTAATCTCCACTATTGGATTAAACAATAAATGGTTTAGATTTAATATTTTAAAAAGTAGATATCTACTTTTTCTCTCCTATTTATGTAACGTTATAATAATAATTTTATAAAATATGAAATCTAAACCATTCACTATTTGATCCAATGGTAGAGATCAGATACTGAGGGAAAAAAAAGAAAAAAAAGGATTTTAAGAGGATCAAAAACCGAAATTTTCTATGCATATTTTGGTTTACGCGTTTCGAATCAATACGATCGCCTTGGTCACAAGCAAAGGTACAAATTCTTTCCCCACTTGTTCGTAACAAGGCATCGGCGCCAGAGAAATTCCTGCTGCCTCCATGCAGCCATTATTTTGAGAAAGCTAATGAATCCTCTCATATCAGGTTCCACCCCATTGCGCTCCAAATCTTGAGAATTAAATAATGTGCGAACCAAAGAACTTCTACGTTTGGCTGCTTGAATTTATAGGCCTCTTGGGTCTACTTGCTTTCATCCTATGGCTGGCCCTAAGACCCAAACCTCCCTCCTACTCCATCGACTTCGTCTCCATTCCACAGTCCTCTGATCAGAATGGCACCATCATTTACAACCTCGAGATTGAAAACCCAAACAAGGAGTCTAGCATTTCCTATGATGACATAACTGTGAGTTTCCTGTATGGGCAGGATCAGGTGGCACAATCAACCATAGGTTCTTTTCGTCAACGAGCTGGTAAGAGCAATAGTATGTTTCAGAGTACTAATGCCAACGGTCGAGCTCTGAAGCCTCTGGTCAATGCGATTTCGAACGCCACAGCTGAGTTGAAGGCTGCTCTGAAGACCAGGTTTCGATATAAGACATGGGGAATTAAGAGCAAGTTTCATGGGGTGAACCTCCAAGGTACTCTGCCCATTGGTCCTGGTGGGAAGCTTTCGGGTAAGAAGAAAAAGTATCCCATCAAGAGTCCCTCCAAGAAAACCACAAGGTTCAAAATAAAGCATTGATCACTAGTCCCATCTGTGTCTCTATGTGTCTGTGTGTAGATTTTTCATTCCTTCCTAATAGCGCATGCACCAATCCATAGTGTGCGCGCACACCCTCTTGGTCATAGTATTTGTGAATTTTTTTTCCGGGTCTGAACTGTATCTGTGGATTGAAAACACAAACTTTGTAATATATTGTGATTAGAATTCTTCTAAGGTTACACAATCATTATGTTTTTTTAAAATCTATATGTGATAAAAGCCACAATTCAACTTTTGCAGATGCCACTTACCAAATTCGGTGTTTTACGTTTCATTTGTTGTTATACATTTGTTGCTGTGTCAACCAGTCATGTTAATAATCTCAAGACTTAGAAATGGAACTTGATAAACCATCGCAGTATCAGGCATTTCAACGGAGAGCCCCAGTGCTTTGAACGTCACATCAAGACCAAGATAATACAGAATGAAAACCAACATCAATTGCACAGAACGGAGAGATTCACCAATTTTAGATTTTTTTTCTTAAATATTTTTGTGCTGCTAGATGATTTAAAAAAAAAAATTATGGCACTCAAGTTGGCACATGACACAGATGCTTGAATTTAACCTACGACTGCACACTGCCTACCGTGATAAATCTAACCGACTTTAAGGACTCCGTTTCCCTGAAGCCCTACAGCTGCTAACGATTTGTCTCCTCCATTTGTGAATGGAAACCTGCAAGGCAACACAAAGGAGGTAGTTTAAGAATTGATCTGACAAAAGACGTGTGAATGTCCAATAATAAAATTAATCATATCTCGGACGAAAATGTCCTAATATTTTGAAAGAAAAGACAAAAGGTAAAAGGACAGAATAAATTCCTTACAGCAGGGAAACCACCATAATCCCCAGGCTCTTGGATGTCCTTGGTGACACAACTAGTAGCTGCAAGCCGAACCTGGAAGTGCCATACGATCGATGATCAGATATATCCTCAACCCCAACTTCCAGTTTTCAGTGTAAAAAAAGTACCATAGCAAAAGATATTTACATTCAAACAGATTCGCTGTTTATCAATAGGTAATACAGCAATTAAATAATTCTAATTTCTAAGTTGTCGTTGTTCTAGGTTGTTCTGGGAACCAGCTATGCTGCAAACAATTTCCCCTTAACTTCCAGAGATAAAATGTATTGAGGGGTTTAAAAACTTCAGATTAACCAATATATCTGTATATTTCCAATGTTTTTCAAGCCTGTTCTTAATTTTGTACCACTGGGAAAAAAAAAAATGCAGCCTTTCTAAATCTAGTTCAGTATTATTTATCTCATAAGGCGCACTCAGCGGGTCCATTTATTATACATTCACTAGCCATTCTGAAGGCACCAAGGCCACAAAAGGCTAAAACCTTGCAAGATTAGATAAGCTAATAAATACCTTTGATACAATGGAAACATGATCTCGCACAGCTACTCTTCCCCCCATAGTCACATAATCACCTATGCTGAAGGATAGCATACCAGACAAAGATGTAACTATTGAAAAATTCAAAAGCTTCAGCATGAATTATTTTGAATACGAATTTGACCATAAGCATCAATCTGATTTATTAAAAACAACGATCTTTAAGAAAAGGAGTTGTGATAACATACGTTGCTGAACCTGCAATACCTACTTGCCCACAAATCATACAATTCTTCCCAATAACTACATTATGACCAATCTGCAGAAACAATTAGGACAGAGAGAAAAAGAATTCCCAGTAACGGTATACTTAATCATACAAAAGTTAGATGCTAACCTGTACCAAATTATCCAACTTTGTATGATCCCCAATGGTTGTATCTCTCCAACTGCATAATTGATCAGTCACTAGCATAAATATTGAGTCTTCTAAAGCTCACAAGTCCCAAAAGAAAATCAAACTAGAATATATGTGTGTGTGTGTGTGTATATTTATACATATATTTGAAAAGAAAGATAGGCATGAAGCAATCAAATCCTTACCTGCCCCGATCAATGCATGTATTTGCACCAATTTCCACATGTGCCCCTATTATGACATTCAACATCTACATATTTAAGCAAGAAATGCAATTACGGTTAATCCAAACCAAATGTAACCAATTTAAAATTATATATGCCCATATAACATAAAAAAAGTACATCACAGAAACATATAAAGATCCCTGAGATTATTTGTGCATTTATAAGCAACTTCTAATGAATCACAGTATTGATATTTTGTGTTAAACAAGGTCTAGAAGTAATCTTTATATTAAAAAATTGGTAACATGAGTGTTCAGAAGTGTATGAGGTATTTAAAAATCCTAAGCTCAAAAGCACAAGGCTGATGATATCGGTCATTCTTTACAATCCACCTTTTTAAGGACAGTGCATATGTCAAAGAAGAAAGTTGAAATAAGACAACAAAGAACTAGAGTTTGACATCAAAGTAAATGAAGAAAGATTACCAACCTGAGGCTTCTTTATCACATTACCACTACCATCTACATAAAATCCAAACCCTGCAGCACTTACATTAAGCTTATCAGAAAAGAATGAATTCCATAAAATACATTTCTAGTATCAAATTAGTTGATTTAAAGGCGCAAAGATAAGTTATTTAATAATATTCATAATAAGGAGAAAAGGGTGAGGCTCATGGTCTTACTAATATTGTACTTGCTTCAGGCTATGTAGTGAGTTAGTGATAGGAATTCTTTTCTTTATCAAAGTATATAAAAGTCTAGAAGACAAGCAAGGGTAGTTGTTCAGCTTTACCGTCTTGACCAATGCAGACTCCATTGTGAAATACACACAAATTGCCGACCTGGCAATTACTCAGAGCAACATTATACCTGAAAAAGAACAGCAGTTTAATTAAAACCGCTTGAGCACAAATCCAAAATTCTAGACATTTGGCAGAATTTAATCTGATGAGATGTACATTCAAATTATAAACATAGCATGTAATAGAAAGGATGCACTAGATACCAATAATAAAATGATGAAGACTAACACCAACAACAAGTTAAATTAATTTCTAACCATGTTTCGCAATAACCACAAAGTTAGCCAGTAAGTGCAGACAACTCGTTACTAATCACCAACAAATATTCCAAATACAGAGCAAACTTGATATCAAGTCCCATGCTCTTGAAATCATTGAGGGTCCATCTCTCAAATTTGCATCATAAATAACCCATACCTATATGTTTCAAATTACCAGTGTGTAAATTACAAAATGAGATGTAGCATATGCTCAATACAACATAATATGTGCTTTTGAAAGTCAGTTTCTACTTTCTGAATCGACATATGTTTACAGTCCAAGCCTTGACATGTAAATCCCCTGCAGTAAAAGCTTTTTGCAATTATAATCCTCTACACTCAGAACAGGCGTCCTGCTTGGTATCAATGATCAGCTAAAAGCATTTACGTATTTAAGCAGAGCACATAAATTTCAGGGTTAGACAGAAATTCGAAACCTTTCGTATATAGAAATGTGTAATACTAACAAACATCGTTAAAGAACGGGAAAAACATGGATCGTACCCTATTTTTGCTGAATGGCCAATTATAACAGAAGGCCCAACAATCGTTCCAGACCCTATATGAACATTTGCTCCAACAACTGCTTTTGGATGAACAACAGCGCCAATCTCTACGACCGCAGATGAGTCCATGGAAGCCGATTCGTGGAAAGTGCCCCCTCCATTGAGCCATTTGTGAAACTTGTCAGAACAAGGTCCAGAACCATCCCCTAATCTTGAAAAGCAAGATAACCGCAAACGGGAATTAATAAAATAGATGCGAAACGAAGTGACGCACATTAAATAAGATGCATACTAAATACTAAATAGAGCTATGTTGGACCACAATTCACAACTAAGCAGCTTCTTTGACTTCAGCTAGCTTTATCTCCCTCACCCCTAAAACTAAATGAATTGGGTCAGTGAAGATTTACCTGATTGAAAAGGCCCGGATTGTTCGGGCGAAGCAACGGAAAAATGACGACGGCTAGCAGAGTGATGCAGAGCGATCGACGAAGTGACTTGAAATTGAATTTTTTCAATATGATTGAGATAAAGGATTGAAGAGGCGACTAGCCTCCGTGCAGTGGCAGCCATAGCCAATTCAGTTAACGAAATCGAAGCTGGAAAAGTAGGAACGGAAAGCGGAGCTTCATAAACTCAAAAAATGGAGCTTTGTGTTTTGACTTTTGAAGCATCGTTCCAGCCTTACCGGGAAGGGTCTGTAACTACCACCATAATGGTTGAAGTGGGCCTTCGACAAACGACAATCTGCATTTCAGATTTTGGGCCATGTCCATGCCCTCATCGTTTTAGTATTATAGAACAGAAAAAGCCTGCCCAGTACTCAAGAGCACTCGGAAATCCAAATCTAAAGATCATAGGCAGAATCTATTAAAAGTTAAAACACGACAAAAATAAGCCCAACATTCACCATTTGGTAATGAGTTTTCATTTTAAAAATTTCAAGAAAATATTTTAAAAATATAACAAATATCAAAATATAAAAAAATTGGTACGTCCATTTGTAATTTGATTTTTAAACAAAAAGAAAATGATCAGGAAGTACCTTTAATTCATCTTTTGTTCAAGTAAATATGTTCCAAATGCGTTCAATATTGTTTGGTTGAGGCGTCAAATTTAACAAATATTTTTTCATTACTTTAATTTTCTTTTGGTTTTCATTCGCTAGCGCATGACGCTCATGAATTTAACCCCAAATTCTCATTTTCTTTGGGTTTTCATTCGCTAGCAACAACAAAGCCTCTATGTCTTCAACCTTTGAGGAGTTTATTTTTACTTTTTCTTAGTAATGATTGTGCCTTTTTCTTCATTGGCATCAAATATGAAGACGGTAGGAAGAAGGTAAGGAATAGATTTTCATGAGTATTAATAAAATATTATTAAAATTATTAACGGTTAATATAACTTTTGGTTCCTGAAATTTAGACATATTTTGGTTTTGGTTCTTCAAATTTTAAACTCATAATTTTAATCTTTAGAATTTAATTCCTCTTAAAAGGTCAAAGTGGTGACATCATTAAATGATATCTAGCTAGATCTTGTATGAATATCAGACCTGGATTTTCCTGAATACCCAACAAGCTTATATGAATGCATTTCACAGCTTCATTTCTTGGATAAGAATTCCTCAGACTAGGATCCAGCAATTCGAACGGCTTCACTTCCCTCCAGAGCTTCCAGGCCTGCAGATAACTTGATCCATAGAATGATGTATTCTTCTTGCTACTGATACAATGATCTCTAAAATCAGGACGCCAAAACTATATATATCAAGATTCACATGTTCTGGAGACATGTAGCGATTACAAAATAGCTTCACACATTCCTAAACCATTCCAGTCTTAGGAACTGAAACATTCTTGCCTGCTCTCCATCCATATCTAAGGCACAGGAAGCATGGATCGAGACTTGGATCATGAGTATCGCTGTTTGAAATGCTATGGCAATAATTGTCGCAGCCTGAAACCTTGCTTTTATCTGAATAAATAGAGTAAAAAACTAATTAAGTCACAGATGCACACACGCTTCTGATTTTTGTTATAATTAGGGTTGAATAGAATTTGGGAAACGAATCATTTTGTGATGATCAATATGCACTTAATTATCTTTTCTCTATCTTTTCTTCAAGGCTATATGGTTGTATGTCCTAGTAATATAAGAACATGTATATTTCACAATTTAACATGTTTTGTCTAAATAGTTAATTATCTCTAACTAATTATTGAACTTCCTAACTGATTAATTGATTATCGAAACTCCTCTAAATAATTAATTTTAACTAACTTTTCTTGATTTATGTTAATTAATTAATTTGAACTTACAAAAAAAATATAAAAAGGAATATAAAAGAAGAAGAATCTGACCTGCGAGGAAGATTATCGCAGCAAAGATTTGTTTTTTTAATAGTGATCATGCATATCTTCTACGAGATAATCAATGATTGCTAAACCATATTCATTAAAGAGATTATAATCGTATGCAATAATGGAGAGTATATTAGAGGAGCACATGTAGATGTTACTTATTAACGAATATAAAATTGAAGAGGAGCAAAGCCAGGGGGGGCCCTTACTGTTTGTCTTTGATGAAAGCGATCAAGTTGTTAATTCCGGAAAAAAAAAAAAGAAAGAAAGAAGAAAGGACGATAAAATGGTCATCGTACGTACAAATGTTCAGTATGTTCTAACCAGTAGAAATGAGCGAAGAGCTGAAAAGTGAGTCCTCATTAATTGTCGTATATGTGGTTTACAAAGTCAGCCGCCCTGTACTGTTACAACTGTACAAGATTAATGTTCTGTGGTTTCTGTTCAAATTCTTGGAAGAAAAAAAAACCACGTTTATACTTTTTAATTTGATTTTGATTTTTAATAAATAATTTCTCTTACCTCGAATTCATACTTTTTTAAGAGAGGAATCGGTGTATATATAAATATATATTAAAATATGAACTGTAGTATGATTTGAATAGAATTAATAAAATTTTATGTAATTTCTTTCAAAATTCGTCAGAGGTAGTCATCGACTTTGAAGAAATTAGCTAGTGCGAAACTTCTCTATAATTAATTTCAACTACTATATGACGAGAAATACCTCTCAGGTGGAAAGAGAAATGTCGAATAATGAGCAAGAAAGTTACATAATCAATTTCCTCTATTTTGATTCATTTCATTAGTTTTTTCCCTTTTAAATCAAAAGGAATTAAATTTTACTCCTTAGTTTAGAAAATTAACACCTTGATTAAGAATAGAAATAGGGAATTGAAACTCAAATTCCAAAACTTTCAAAAATATCACAAACAGTAAATATACCCCACATGCAAAGTGTCAGCAAATTGAGGATATGACAGGGACCTGAAGACGACGTGACATGTCTGCTTCGAATGGAAATGTAAAGTGAACAATGATTGTTTGGGTTCGAAGATTTTGAAATTTGAATACAAACCACACAACATTAATCCTCCTCTTAGAAGGGAAAAATACACAAATAACGTGCTTTAATTCTTGATACAACATCAACACAATACTAGTTAAGTTGAGTAGTTAGGTAGTACTAACGAGGATACATGTCAGAAATTGGATCTTCATCCACAGATCTTTGCATAGACCTGCCTGTAGATTGATCCGAGCTGTTCTCAAAGCTTGCCTGATTGTTTGAATCTGTTCTATGGCAATTAAACAAAAAAGCTGGCTGCTGAGGATCTGGCAGGGTGACGGAGTGACTACCTAGCATCACCATAATAAATTGTATCGTTGGTCTCAGAGCTGGACTTTCCTGGATACACAACAAGCTTATATGAATGCATTTAATAACTTCATTTCCTGGACATGAATTTCTTAGACTAGGATCCAGCAATTCCAATGGTGTTCCTTCCCTCCAGAGTTTCCAGGCCTGCAAATGCAATAATATATAATCAATTTGTTTAGATTTTTTATTTCTCTTGCTAGCTACCATTTGAGTTTATTTGCTTTGATAATGTACTTACATAGGTTGCGAGGTTTTCAGCATAATTTGACGCATAGAAAGATGTATTCTTCTTGCCGCTGATGATCTCCAGGATTAGGATGCCAAAACTATATATATCAGATTTGACTGAAATATGACCATGCATTGCATATTCAGGAGCAATGTAACCGCTACAAAATAGCATCTTCACATGATAAATAATCTCTTTTCATGTAGTTCATTATAAATTATGATACAATAAGACATAATATGAAAATGTTGGTTGAAGTGACTTACAATGTACCAACAACTTTACTTGTGTCGGCATGGGTTTGATCAGCTTGGAAAATTCTAGCCATTCCAAAATCAGATATTTTTGGATTCAAATCTTCATCCAACAATACATTACTAGATTTGAGATCGCGGTGTATAATTTTGAGTTGAGAATCTTCATGAAGATAACTTATCCCCCTCGCAATCCCTTCAATAATATTGTATCGATTTGACCAATTCAATTTACCTTTGTTTTCTGCCTCTGTACAGTTAAGAAGCAAATTTAAACAATAAAAGAAAAAGTTAGATTCACATCCCTACTCATATTCAAACAAATTAGTAAACGTTATTTGACTGGATGAGCAATCACATGTGCACCTAAATGCAAAAGCCAATACTGCATAACTTACCAAACAAAAAATTATCCAAGCTTTTGTTGGACAAATATTCATAAACGAGTATCTTTTCTTCCTCTTCTAAACAAAATCCGAGAAACCTGACGAGATTTCTATGTTGAAGCTTTGCCATGGTAACTACTTCATTCTTAAATTCTAGTACACCTTGTTTGGAACTATTTGATAATCTCTTCACAGCTAACTCTTGTCCACCTGGTAAAATGCCCTGCATACATTTAAAATAACAGACCGTTAAAATCTATTTACAAACAAATAATAATTTTATGATTTGGAGAGCGCATGCTTGCGATATCCATCAGGAAAGCAGTATTGTATACCTTGTACACCTCCCCATATCCTCCTTGACCAAGTTTATTGTCGGGGCAGAAGTCGTTTGTTGCTGTTTTGATGCTATCCAAATCAAAATGTAGTGACTCTGAAATCTCAGCTGCATAACCCAACACAAAAAAAATATTGATCAATTGCCCAAGACTTTCTAGCACTCTAGCGATTTGAAGTCCAAACATTATGCCTTTAATCTGAATGCTCAATTAAGAACCATTAGTTCTTTAATTGTTGCAAATTTCTGATATTTTTCATCAAGGGAAAGCTAATCCCATACCAGTTTTAGGAAGTGAAGCATTCTTCCTGGCTCTCCACCATCTAAGGCACAAGAAGCAGAGCGAGACTTGCAATATGAATATTGCCGACTGAACCACTATGGCAATCATTGCCACTGCCGAAATCTTGCTTTTATCTGAATAAATAAGGAAAAAAAAAACTAATTAAGTCCCACACGCACACGCTCTTCTGATTTTTGTTATAATTATACAATTTTTAAGAAATAACACTTTTGCTTTTAAATCGACGGTCTTTTCATAACATATACGTTGCGTTCTTGTGTCTGATCTATGGTAAACTAGAAGATATCCATATTGCGATTGCTTACCATTGGAAGCGAAGGCTGACTCTGGCACACGAGGGGAAGGAAGCGACGAAATCACTCCGTAAAAGGGGTACAATTCATACCTTACGTTGCAACTGTAGGCGCGAGCTATGGCCCCTAACCTCCCAAAACAGCAATTCGGATACTCTCCGATTGTTCTTCTCAAACAGTTATAACAGTCATCTCTAGATATATCCGGCGTGCACTGCGCCATAGTATACAGAGTTTGAAAAGAACTGTAGTTTTGTTCTCTCGTCGCATATTTCTTGCTCCCGCTGCCGCCGTACGCCGCTTCTTTCGCCACCACATTCATGGTATCAATCACCAGTTGCATGAAGCTTTTGGGGTCTGCTGCATTGCCGTTGTTGTAGAGGACGCGAGTGGGGTCATCTTGCTCTATGGAGAAGAAATCGGCGTCGGAGTATCGTAACGTGCACTTTTCGTACCAACCCACGGCTCGTGTATAATTGAGGCATTGCCTGATATCTTTGGTTGCCTGGGAAACACATGCTTGACAGGCGGAGACGGCGGTGTCTCCGCGGCAGAGGTAGAGGCCGTAGACAGCGTCGCCATTTTGTCCGACGGTGGTGTTGTAAAAGCCATCGCTACGACTGGCGTTTGAGGAAAGATTTGAGAGTAAGCGATTGAGATTTGAGTGATATGTGCTGTTAGGGGCATAAGTAGGGCCTGAACAATCCACCTGTGGCGTCTGTGCTTTCATTCTAGCAATGAAGAAGAAGACTAGAAGAGCAAGGAGCGGGAAGGCCTTAAGAGAATCCATGAAGTGAATCATCAATTTTCTGGTGATGAAATGTGCGGTTTCACGCTTGGGACATAATACTGGACTCATTTATACACCTTAATGTGAAAGACTTTGAATTTGGAAACCGTTGACTAAGATACATGTGGACGAGGCGGCGCCGCGTCGTAGTCGTGGGTGTCGGCTGCGTGCTTGACTTGTATGTATACCCATCAATTATCCTCCCATCCTCCCAACCAAGTTTTTTTTTGTTTGGACTCATATCCTCCCAACCAATTTAAAGGACTAAAATTTTCATAAAATTAAATTAATTTTTAAGATTATCTTTATTAATCACACTCAACCTCATTATATATATTTATCATTCCTTACTACTTCTATATCACAATTTCTAATAATATATACATATATATATCAAGGGCATATATTGAAAAAGTGTTTAATGCTCCAACAAATTTACCAAATGACTAATAACTATGAGGCACCTTCTAAAAAAATTCCCTAAATATGGAACTGATGAAGAGAGTAGCTTCCAATTATTATTATTACTATTACCATTAGGACCAACTTTTTTGGGGCCAACAGTCCAATCAAGTGAAAACCCCTTCTTATAAGGATCGATTGTTTTTTAATTTTCTTTTCTAAACTAAAAGTAGTGGGAATTAATTAATCTTCATTGAATATAAAACCTATTTTATAATATAATTTATAATGTAAAATGAGTTTTATATTTAAGACCAAAAGAATACTATGTAATAAAAAATCGAATTGGATTGATTGGTTCAATTGGCCAAGTCATCAGTTTGGATATAGGGTTTTACCTAGCGTTGAATTGGTCCAAACTAGTGAACCCGGCGGGTTAACCAAACACACGGAAAATTTAGCTTATGTTTTTTTTTTAGTTAAAATATGGTTTATGTTAGACTGCATTTCTTTATTTTAGAGAATGATTTAATTAATAGCCATAAAACTTTTTAAAATTCTGAAGCCCATGCAATATTGCACAGGCAGTTTGCTTTGACCGGTGTAGATTAATTAAGATCATATTAGATTAAACATTAAAAAATAAATATTAGCTTAGATGTGAGCCCAACCCACTAGCTCACCAAAAATGACAAGCTTAGATTGACAAAATACCAACTTGCAAAAGTGCGGGCTATTTTATCCCATACTGCTTTGAGCCCCAGCCACGGGCTAACTAGCTGGTTGGTGTGTTAGCCTTTTTATTTTCCCCAATAAGTTAATTTTCACATCATATTATCTTATTCCAACCCACTGCTCGAATACCCATATAATATAATAAGCAATTTACTAAAGTTAAAAAGGATTCAATGCGTAGAACAGGATCGTGTCACTGTAAAACACTAAGGAATGGATAGGAAATGGTGGTTAAAGAGCAAAAGAAAAAAGAGCTTATATGAATGATTAATGTCGCATAGCTGAGCAGTGACCATTCTTCGTCTTATTTTGCAGAAAATTTCCGATAAGCTCGCACTAGTACATGCAAATATATTTTTCCGGTTCTAAATATAAAACACTTATAGTAGTATGTATAAGAGTTTTATATTTAGAATCTGAGGAGTAGTTTTTTTGTTGTGCTATAATCTTCATCTTTTTGATGTTTTGTTAATTTTTTTTCAAAATTAGAAAAGAGAAAGAGAATATTACATTAAAAAAAAAAGCGGACTGACCAAGGTATGGGCTACTTCAACCCGCATCGCTGTATTCTGTCCCATATCTGCACCCCAACCCGTTTTATTAGGTCTACATAACACATATATTGAACATGTGCCAACAAATTTTGATTTATTTAAATTTGGAGTCCACATTATATATATATATATGTTTGTGTGTATATACTACCCCCATCCTAAATATAAGAGCTAGTTGACTAATTTAAATAGATTAAGAAAATAAGGTAAGTTAGTTATTTGTAATAAATAGATGTTGTTTTTCCAAAAATATCCTTGCTAACCAAATGTATTGGCTAAAACTACTATTATTAGGAAGATTATCTTGAACAAAATATATAAATATGAGAGACAAAGTGGATTGAGGTCTTATATTTAAGATCAAAATAAAAATCAAATATGATCTTATATTAAAGATCAGAGGTATATGCGAAAAATAAAGACCGATTTTTCCGAGTCTTTATTTGTTGGACTCTTCTTTCCGGGTACTCCTTACCCCTTCATAGGCGCCAAGCCACAAACCCATATACTTATTTACTTTTATACTTGATTGAGGCCGGAAGAAAAAGAGAAAGAAAAGTTTTTAGGAGTTTTCTTTCCTAATATTCTTTTTTCCCCTAACTTTTTTTCTCCATCCAATTCAAACCATATATTTTCGGTAGAAATCTCTTTGTACGGTAATTAAAAAGCTCCGTTAAGTAAAAGTTTCCATGAATAAATATCAGTGTCCATGTTTTGACATCACGGATCTCATCCACTGTCGACTCATACTAGGAATTCAGTACTAAAACAAAGGAACTGAGGAAGAAGAAAATTTCACTCTCTTATATAAGAAACTTTTAGAGTATTGTATTTGCGACAGGCATGATAATTAAATTCCTTTGTTTTATATTTGTCTGTGTTAAATAAGATAAATTATTTTTCTCACGACCACTTCAATTATTACACATTTTGGTTTTAGAGGAAGATCTCGATGTAAGATAATTAACAGATATTTAAAATTGTCATCTGTAAATAACTTATTAATTTGGTCCTACCTAATTGGGAAGTTAACATTGATCTAATATGCAAGACATATTTCATATATTTATCAATTTTTTTAAATTAAATTTATTATTAATATTCACTCCATCAATAATAATTAAGTAGGAAAGCAAAGGAGGAATAGAATTAAAGACGGTGCTTATAGTATTTTAAAAAAAACATCATATTAACTAATTTAAGTAATATTTTTAATTTATTCTAACTAATTAATTAGGTCTTGAGATTACTATCTATATATAGTCTCTCCCGAAGGTTAATCACGTGGTTAGAATAAATAAGATCGAGTTCATATGGGACAACAAACCATTTCATCCCAGGGAGACAGCGAGGCCTACTTTGCCGACCTCGGGTCCACCTGCTGAAGAAGTCAGGCGCACAGTGAATGTTGAAAATTCATTGCACATACAGTATTAATATTACAGTTCTTCCAACACGGACACTCATACTTTTTAATTTAGTTTTAATTTTTAATAAATAATTTCTCTGATTTTGAATGCATACTTTTTAGTTCAAATTGAAAAGCTAATCAACGACATTTGGGATTGCATTTTCTAAAAGAAAGGAACTGATGTAAACATATATGTTAAAATAAGAACCGCCGTGTGATTTAAATAAAATTCATAAAACCTTATGTAATTTCATTCAAAATTTGTAAGAGGTAGTCATCGACTTCCAAAGAAATTAGCGTAGAACTTTTCTATAATTAATTTATATTATACGGCAGGAGAAATTTCTCTCAAGTACTAACGGGCGTTGCTTCTGGTAAAAAGGGTTTTGGCTGCTTAAACACGAGGACTCCGGTTTACAGTTTGTCAGAATACAAAAAACATCTTTGATAGACCTACCTAGCCCCAGTTAAATCCAACAATGTTCGAATCTGCAGATCCAATCAAATGGTTATATATATATGAAAAAAAAAATCTCTCAAGCGGAAAAAGAAACAACAAATAATGAGTAAGAAGGTAGATAATCTATTTCCTCTGTTTTGATTCACTTCATTTGTTTGTTTTTCCTTTTAAATATATTTCAAAAGCAAGTTTTACTTTCCTGGCTTAGAAAATTAACACCTTGAGTAAGAACAACAGAAATAAGGGATTTGAAACTCAAATTTCAAAACTTTCAAAAATATCACAAATATATTCTACATGCATGTGTCAGCAAATTAAGGTGGGGATTGGATGACAGAGACATGAAGACGAGTGAAGTGTCCTTTCAGTGGAGACGTGTGAAGTGTTCAAAGATTTTTTCTTCTTTTTTTGGATTTGAAACCCAAACATCAATATTTTGCCATATGAATTTCAGCGTTTATAATACATACGACTGCTCAAATATAATCTGTGCCATGAATGCTTTGGCAATCATCGATACAGAAACATCATTGACTACTTACACAAATAACGTGCTTTAATTCATGATGATGCGACACATCTAAACCTATTTGACACACTACCAAGTTGAGTACGTAGTTGGGGTGAACAAAGGTACTAACGAGGATGCATGTCAGAAATTGGATCTTCATCCACAGATGGTTGCATAGACTTATTTTTAGATTGATCCGAGCTATCCTCGGAAATTGCTAGACTGTTGTTTGAATCTGTTCTATGGCGGCGATCAAACAAAAATGCTGGCTCCTGAGGATCTGGCAGGGTGACGGAATGACTATTTAGCATCACCATAATAAATTGTATATCAGGTCTTAGAGCTGGATTTTCTTGGATACACAAAAAGCTTATATGGATGCATTTAATAACTTCATTGCTTGAACAAGATTGTCTTACACTAGGATCCAGCAATTCTAATGGTGTCCCTTCCCTCCAGAGTTTCCAGGCCTGCAAATCCGATAAAATATAACCAAGTTGTTAAAATTTGATCTCTCTAGTTACCATTTGAGTTTAATTACTTAGCTTTGCTAATATACTTACATAGGTTGGCAAGTTTTCAGCATAATTTGTTGCATGGAAAGATGTATTCTTCTTGCCACTGATGATCTCCAGGATTAGGATACCAAAACTATATATATCAGATTTCACTGAAATATGACCATGCATTGCATATTCAGGAGCGATATAGCCACTACAAAATAGCACACACTACATGGTAAATATTATCTTTTGCCTAATTCATTATAAATTATGATACAAAAAATATAATAATACAAAAATGTTTATTTAAGTAACTTACAATGTGCCGACAACTTTACTTGTGCTGGCTTGAGTTTGATCAGTTCCAAAAATTCTAGCCATAC